AAATTAAAATATTATGACATAATAAAATTATTAAAATATTATTAATAAATTAATATATAATTTATTTAAAATATTTAAATACTTTTATCATGAATAAAACATCTAATTTTTACTTTCTTATTTTTTTCTTAAATAAATTTAAAAAACTTAAATTAAAATAAAAAATATAATATTAATAATTAAAGATGTTACAATATCACCAACTTATTATTAATCTTCCTAACATGTACATGGGGGGCAATTAACAAGCTAGCTGGAGAACTAGGAGATAAAACCAGTCCAACTTTATCGAGTCTCTCTGTAAAAATGAAAAAGGATCAAACTATCTCTTAACTGAGACCAGCCTTCTCATTAGATTAGATCCAGAGGATGATATGATATGGTATTTCTTAAATAAATTCAAATAAGGAAACTGGAATAAAAACACATAGCACTCCTACTCTTTATTTTCTGGACAATCAAAAACAAGAACTGAAACTTGGGAACATAGCCTCAGATCTGTCTGCTGCTTACTGGGGAGGCAGGGCTTTAGTTTTTCATCCACTGTAACATTTAAAATAACTAGACACCTTAAGGAGAACAACTGCCAGAACATTAAACTTTTGAAATATCAATCACCAACTAAGAAGCACGGCTTGACATGGCCCTCCCACGACCCCTATTAATGTAACCATAGTTACCGTACCCTCTTCCATAATAACCACCGCGAGAACGACCACCACGTGGCCCACGTCCACCGCGACCACCACGATGCCTTGAAAAATCACCAAAAGTCTGCACAAATACACCAGAAACGTGATCGCAAGAAATAAGATCCATACGTGAGATAGGGCATACCAAAAAAAAAAACTCATTACCTCTGTGTCGATCTTCATTTGATCAGAGAATCTAGGCCTTCCACTTTGTGAATCATTGTCAAGAGCGTTGCAGGAGAGAGTATCAAAAAAGTCATCCTTATTGTACATAGGCTGTAGCAAACAAAAGCAGGCTAAGGCTATGAGAAAGGGGTATCAAATATAGCGTAATAATCATTATAAGGTTAGCAAATTAACCTTGACATCTATCTTTGGTAGTTCAGCATCATACTCATCTTGAGAACCATCTTCATCACTGACATCGCCTTCATTGTCCTTAGAATGGGATTTGTTACTCTTACCAAGATGACCCCATACTTCATCCTTATTGAACTTCTCATTCATTGCCATGAAATCAAAATCCTCAGTGAACTTTGTCACTGGACGTGAATTCTGCAAAAATGTTAAATATTATAAAATTGCAATCAATCACCTTAAAATAATGAAATTTATGGAAGCAAACTGAACTTGCTATGAATCACCATAAAAGAATTGGAAAAGCTATTAATTGCTTCCAAATCAAAACACTGAACCACTTGTCCACACTGTCCCCATACCTCAGATGAGTTGATTCACTTCTTTGAAGATTTAACTTCAACCAAGTACTCCAGTTGAAATATCAATTCAATAATCAAAATTTCGAAATTTAGAATGAAAAATGTAAATCAATCATTACCCCAGTTCCTCTGCCTCTTTCACGCCCCCTGTAGCCATGACGAGCTTGGAAAGAAGGTCCATTTGGCTATAGGCAAAAACAGAAAAAGAGTATGAGAGCAGAAAACATTAGAAACCTTGTAGCATTCCAATGAGCAAATTATCTAGAATTAAACCAATAAACACAAACTGCTATCAGGAAAAACTGCATCCCTCACAGAAACAGAAATGTTCAGAAAGATGGAGACCAAAGAACAACTAGAAAGAAGGTTAAGATGAAACCACTCTGAGATAAACTTTATCACTTTTATAATTCTCAAAGTCTTAACTGCAACTAAAGCAAATGAAATGGCATCCATACCAAACAACACAACTATCAACAACACCAAAACAGAGAGACATCAATACTTAATGGAGATGCAGACTGGAAAGAAGGCATGAATTACCACATTTTCATCTTCTCAAACCTTTGAAACAACTGGAGTGAGTCTCCATTTATTTCTCACTCGATTTGAACCTCAAACCTATGATCACTATCATTGATGCACGCCTATCAACTGGAATCTTCTGACAACCAAGTTTTTTCTCCTTTATTATTATTTTTTTCAGATAAAATACTATCCCATTTTAGAAAACCTCCAATTCCCAATCAGCAAGGATATGCAAATGCTAGACTCTGTGACATTGATGAGGATAACCAGAATCTCTGCCACCCCATCCACATTTGGAGGAACAGAAGGTAAATAAATAAGCTAAAACTAATACATGGAGCAAATACCTTATGAATAGCTCGGGAAGGTACTGGCAGCGGCAATATAGGTGGCTGAGCTTCTTTGGCCACCGGTGCTGATGGCTCAGATGATGGTGAGGCAGATGCTTCAACCACCTCCACATCTTTCTGTGCAGTTATTGAAGATTGAGATGAAGGGGCCACAGTAGATCCAGACTGCAACAGCTGACCTGGGGTTACCAGTGAAGGTGTAGGCGCTTCTGCACGAACCGAAGTAGATGTACCAAGGATAGAGGATGCAGACTGAGATGTGCTCTGATATGACAAGGTTGGACCAGATATTACATTTGGCTTGTTAGCGATTGGTATGGCAGGATTCAACTCTGGAGTGGATGTAGTCAGAGGAGAAAGTGATGGCAAGCTAGCACCTGGTGCAGCTGTTGGAAGGGCAGAACTAGGAGCTTTGTTAGGCAACAAACCAGGTAATGTTTCTGAAGCTAGTGAAGCAGATGGTGCTGGAGGCAAAGTTGATGGCAAAGATGATGGCAAAGTCAAGGATGGTAAGGGAGTTGAGGTTAAATTACCAGAGATCGTAGTCACCGGAAGTAATGCAGAAGGAACTTCAGGCACACTTGAGCTCTGTAAGTTTGAGGGACCAGTTGGCAATGGAACATTAAAATTGGGATATTGCATTGGTTGCAATGAAGGAGGCATTGACAATCCAGGTGGGGGCCTAAGCAAAGATTGCTGGTGCAAATGTGTAAGCCCATTTGGAGGGCCATAGTATCCTTGCCAATACATTGGCATGGCAAGCCCACTGCCATTTGCACTTGGGGGTGGCGGTGAGGCTCCCCATGATCCTAAATTCCCTCCAGGTTGATATAATGGCAGACTAACTTGAAAATTGGACCCAGGGAGTCCCATTTGGGAATTGAGAGAAGTAAGATCTGTCAGGGGTCCACTAGCAGCAGAAGGCAAGCTTGTTGATGTTGAAACAGGGCGGGGATAATGAGATTGCGAATGCTAAATCAAATTTGGGGTCAGTTCACTTGATTTAATGCATAACACTTAAAATAATATTTCTTCCTTTACCTGTATTATGGCAGGGTCATTGGTTATGGGAGCTGCAGTTTGAACAGGTGGGGAAGATTTAACCTGTAAGTCCTGCAAAAATAAAATAGAGAATATCATGGAGTTATGCTTATTACATTGACATCTCAACAGAATGGGCATTATGGAACTTAATCAATGAGCAAGTTGGCACACAGCAGCAAGCATAAACAAATGGTAGTCCTCTAATCTCAAAGTTGAGAAAAAGAATTCCAAGAGTGATGCGGCTTGACAGAAGTAAAACAACTAATTTGACAAATAAAATAAACACAATGTTCTACATATCAACCTTGACCAAAATTTTTGAATCGCCAACTTTAAAGTTTCAATAAGTGAATGAGATGGAATAGAACCTGTATGCATTACACAGTTATACCTTGATGTCACTTCCTCGGAACAATATGTACTCATAGACTTTGTCACTTGGGGGTACTTGTGGACCATCCTTTTTCCTTCCTTCAGTTCCGAATGATCGCACTGCTCACATGAAAAGAGGTAAGCCAACTTGTAAATCAATTACAGCACATAACAATGACGAATTACGAAGAAATAGACATTAACTATATAGTGCAAACGAGAACTCTCCATTTTTACTCCCTGGGAAACATACGGAGAAAATCTCAGATAAATTACTTGAAGATGAGCGCCATAAAAGTTAAATCTAATTATATTGAGGAGATTTAAGGGACTATAAATCTCAGCATCAGCAGCTCAACTGACTTTAAATTAGCTAAAAACAAACCCAGATTTCATTAGAATCGTTACTTAGATTAATGCAATAACTTGCACGTACTTGCATTCCCAACATCCAATTAAACTCAATTCTGCCTTAGCACCGCAATAATTCATAACATGGAATTGTGTTCCGAAACACTTTAACCCATCAAACAATTCAAAAGAAAAGACAAACTCATACAATGAAACTACCCAAATTGTAAAGTAACAAATCAAACCCTCAAAACCCCCCCCAAAAAAAAAACATGAATGAACAGCAACCAGCGACAAGAACAAGCAAAATTCGTTGACATAAACCCCAAAAAAAAGAAAAAAGTACCGTTTCTCAATCCAATACTAGATTCCTCAGTGTTGATGTTGTAAAGCACACCCTCATATCTAATCTCACTCTTCGACGTCAAGCTTATCAAGCTCCCAATGTAGGAATCCGCCGTTGAACTAGATTTGGACCCAGAATTCTCCGTTGCCATAATCGATCAGTTTATGCTACAACATAGACAAATTGGAAGGACACGTATTCGCGTGTGAATGGAGCGAGACAAGGAGTAGAGCTCAACTGTGAGTGGATTCCTTTTATCCAGTACAGACGAGGGAGGAAAGAAATTAGGGCTTAGGTTGGGAGAGCTTTTCGTGATGATGATTTCCCTGTTTTGTGATTTAATATATGCAGTTACTGAGCTACGGTAACGTCATTTCGTGTCGACTACAGGACCAATGGAAGGGAGCCACGTTGGCTGATTTTGGACTCGTCGGTCCTTTTGGTCGGTTGTTAGGGGCTTGAAATGGTAAATATGAAGGTGCTCTTTTTCGTTTTTTCTTTTTATTATTATTTTTATTCAATAATTACATCAAATCTCAATTATAAAAATAATTAAATCACACCAAATTTTATTAAGATTTTTTCTAACATTTATTTCTTTATTTCGTAAAATTTAAGTTCAAAATTTCATTTTAAAAAATTGAAATTACTTTCATTTAAATCAATCAATAAACTATTAGTATTCTAATTAAATCACATTAAATTTTATTAATTTTTTTAATATTTATTTCTTTATTTATAAATTTAAATTTTAAAATTGCATTCAAAAAAAAAAAAATCGAGCTATTTTGATCTAGACCAACCAACAAATTATTGGTGCTTCTTTCCCTTATTACCTTACTTATATAGTTTTAGATTAGATCCATTGCCTATTTTCAAACACAAAAAAAAAAAAAAAAAAAAAAGAAAAAAGACCGCATTCGGTGATCATATTCTCTTCTTGATCGGGGACTTACTTCACACTTCAAATGGCAAAATATGAATTATAAGATTAAAAGAGTTATATTTGCATTTATTAAATTCGAATGATGTAATGGTTTATGTTGGGTGTTTTTGGTATTTTATTTATATAAATTGTATTTAGTAGGATATGGTTGTTGTTTTTAATTTTTACTTTGGTTTTTGTAAAATTTTAACTGTCAAAATTAACAAAAACACATTTGAAAAGTTACTTGTTTGGTAAAACTTTATTTTAACATTATGTTACAAGAAGGCGTTTCTTTGATGTGGTGTGGTGTGGTTCCAACCTTTGAGCATGATTAGTTGTTTTTTTCTTCCTTTCTTTTTCTTTTTTTATATCACTTTAGTCATTTTTAAACAAAACTTGAAAAGCAGCATAATTTTAATTTATCAAGGATGCCATAATAATCTCTCCTCTAAATAAAACAATAGTTTAGTTTCAAGTCACAAACAAGTAGGTGGAGTAGGTAAAGAAATGTTATGCAACTCAAAAAAAAAAAAAAATTAATCTTTTTAGGCCTTGAATATGTCAAATAAATGAGATTTTAATGTTAAATATATTGTTAACTACTTAAGTAATTAAATGGTAATTTCTTTTAAATAAAAGTAAAAAAATCTTAAATTTGAGTATATGTTAGTAAGATTGGTTAAAGAAGATGGCGAATTGCTTCCCATTATACAACTTAAAATACAAAATATTAAGTATTTTGATTCAACTAATCTTTTGTTGGACAAAATATGGATTACATTATCTATGGACTATAATATATTGTGCTAAATAAATGTGTACTAAACAAATGTGAAGTGGATGCGAGAAGCATAATTTGTAAAGCTATTTGATTGTTGATTAGACAAAAATCGGATGTTACTAAGTTAATCACATAATAATTTGTGTCTTGTAGGTCATATTATGCAAAAAATCTTAAGAAAAATATTGTAATTTAGTTATTTTCATACACAATTAGCCTTTTGGTTTTGAAGAGGACCTACAAGACAACAAAAGAAGTTTTCAAAGTTCAAAATCAAGCCTTTGGAAAGCGCAAGGGTTAAAAGGAGTTTTTCCCTTTCTTTCATTTTCATATATATCCATTAATTCGTTTGAGAAGAGAACCGTGATCGGTTGGTTCTCCACAGCCAAAATCTTCACAATTTCGGGATTTTGGGTCAGTTTCCGTTATGTTCACATCGCAGAGGAAGCCGCGGCTGCCGCTTACGCCACAGAATGGGGCGCGGAGAGCGGGGGTTCTCGAACCCCATGGGCTCCCTTGGAGGGAAGGGAAAGGCTGTCATGTTCACCGACGATCCACCGGTACTTCCCCGGCAGCATGTAAACTCGCTTGATGGGGAGAATGTAGATGACTGGAAGCAATTCAAGGAGGCGGGTTATTGTACGAAGCTGCTCTGGAGAGGAGGGACTATGAGGCTCACGTTGATAATTTATCAAAGCTCCAACAGGACGTATGTTTTCACTTTTTAGTGTATGACGAATCGGGTATATGGGTTTTGAATCTTTTGATGGATAGATGACTGGTTTTTTGGCTTTTCATTATGCTTCTGAATATTATCATCTTCTACGTTTCTTTATTTTTTTTTTTTCCATTGGCCATTTTCTATTTATTACGATTGCCTGTTCTTTTTCTGGAATTTGGGTTCTACATGAATAAAGTAGCTTAGTGTTCTTTTCCCCTGGTATGGATTTGCTTTTGCATACCAATTTTTTTTTATAATTTTGCAAGGTTAAATGTTAGTGTTCTAAGTGCATTGTATTGTTATACATTAATGTCTTTAGTGGAAAGACGCAAACTTTTGTTCTTGTTATTGATCTTGCTGCGGGCTATTATGTATGATTATCATTTTTATTTTTTTTCATCATCAAGATGAAAGCTTTTCTTGCTTTATATTTATATGTCTTAGTAGGATAACTTTTTGGTTTTGTATTGAAGCATTGTGGTTCAGTTTTGGCGAACTATATTTCATGTGTCAGTATACCATTTCTTTTTGGCAGATTTTTTATTTACCAGGATAATATGGGACTTCTCCTCATTGAGAATAAAGAGTGGAGTACAAAGTGTGGATAACTAAAGCAAGTACTAGATGAAGCCCCAGAAATCTTCAAACTTGAGCAGACAGTTCATCAAATTGCATTGTTTGAAGCTGAAAAGAAAGGGGAGAACTTGATGAATGCTATAGATGTTCAAAAGAAGTGTGTTGTACACGTATGCAACTTGCTTCTAGAATTTTTGTTGCTTTTTTTTAGGGAGTCTTTAGCTCTTCGGATAATTTGCTAATGTCTCTGGTGAATTTTTTTTTTTTTAATGATAGCACCATGGTGGTATCTTGTTTCAGCTTGAAAATGCACTGCATGATGTTCAAGAGGAACAAGGCCAGATCAAGCTGAGTTCGGAGTTAAAGTTGGCCAATTCAAATTCTGTGGTTGTTGGAATTGAGGAGAAATCCTTTGAGGTTGACAAAAGGATGTGTGCTGCTGAAGCCAAGCTAGCCGAGGTGAACAGGAAAAATACAGAATTGGAGATGAAACCGTGAGAGTTGGATGCTTGTGAAAGTTTGATCCAGAGGGAATGCTTCTCACTACTTACAGAATATTCTCCATTTTTGACCTGTTTACTATATATCAAAATGACACTACAACTTTGAATTACATTGTTTAACCATCTAAAATGATGGTAACTTGTACTGACTTTGTATTAGTCATCAATTTCAGGCGAGAAGCACGTGAGGCAGCTTTTTACGAACGAAGAGAAGAGTTGCGTGACTGGGAGAGCAAACTAGAAGATGGAGAAGAAAGACTGTCTGGGCTTAGGAGAACCCTCCACCAGAGAGAGGAAAAGTCACATGAAAATGACAGGATTATGAAGCAGAAAGAGAGGAGTTGTGAGGAGGTGCAACGGAGGATTGATTTATCCAACTTGGAGTTGAAGGAGAGGAAAGACAGTGTAAATAAAAGATTAGTAGACTTGACTCTCAAAGAAAAAGTCAGTTTCATTCTTAGATGATGCTTTCAAGTTAACTTATCAGTGTTTTCCTATCTAATTATTTCATTTGTTGAATTTTTTTAAGAAGCTGGCACTTTGAAAACTACCCTAGAGGCAAAAGAGAAGGAACTACTTGTATTGGAAGAAAGGCTTGCTGCTAGAGAAAGGGTGAGTCCCTAAATATGTGTTTATTTTTTATATTAAATCTTTATTTCTGCCTTCTTAGTAAATAATGCAAATTATTTCTTTCTATTCTCTTATTCTTTAAAAAGAAAAAAATAGCAAACCAAAACTTGCATAAGACATATGATATAGTAAGCTTTGCAATTGTTAAGCATGGTCTGCACTGCCTCAGTTGTAGTTTATAAATTTGGTTTCACAAGATGGCTGCTTACTTTTAATTATTAGATGGGCATGTGGAGATGGAATGAAGTTTATTTTTGCCAAAATGGGCTTATGTATTTCATAGTATTGGGTTTCAAAGTAGAATATAATTATCTCTATTTTATGATTGCATATCTGCAGGAATGTGTTTGCATGCCTATGCATGGCTATACATTTGTGTGTCTCTTTTGTGTATACTTGCTGTGATTTAGGCAGCTTTGGTTGCTTTATGTCTTCAATTATGATCAAATCTATATGATGAATTGATTAGAGTTTTTTTTTTTTTTCCCAAGAGAATTGATTATAGTTTCATCACTGAGTTGGCCTTCTGAACTTACAGGTGGAGATTCAAAGTCCTCTTGATAAGCAAAGGTTCATTTTAAATACAAAAGTGCAGGACTTTGAGTTGGAATTGGAAGAAAAGGGGAAGTCTCTTGACAAGGAATTGAGAAGCAAAGTAAATGAAGTGGATCAGAGGGGACTTGAAATTAATCACAGTGAAGAAAAGTTAAGAAAACGAGAGCAAGCATTGGAGAAGAAGTTAGAAAATGTGAAAGAGAAAGAAAAGGAACTTGAAGCAAGGTTAAAAGCTGTCAATGAGAAAGAGAATTTGATAAAAACTGAGAATAAGAAGCGGCAGTTAGAAAAGCAACAATTGTATAACGAGAAAGAGATCTTGCAGATTATCAAAGAGGAGATTGATAAGATAAAGGCTGAAACCAGTCAGCAGGAGCCTCAGATTCGTGAAGAGTGTGAAAAGGTTGAAATTGCTTTGGAAGAGAGCTAAGAGCATATAAGATATCAATCCAAATTGAAACAGCAAATTGACAACTATAGATGTCGAGAGGAATTGCTTTTGAAGGAATGTAAAGATCTTAAACAGGAAAGGAAAAATTTTGAAAAAGAATGGGCAGTTTTGGATGAGAAGAGAGTTTTAATTGGTAAACTGCAGAGAGAATTTGGGGAAGAAAAGGAGAAGTTTGAAAAGTTGCGGATCTCAGAAGAAGAAAGTTTGAGAAAGGAGGAATCTGCTATGCAGAATTATATTGATAAGGAGCTTGAAGCCATCAGAGTGCAGAAGGAATCACTTGAAGCTGCAGTGAAGCATGAGAAGTAACTTTTATCTGAGAAAGCTCAAAATGAGCACAGTAAGATGTTTCAAGATTTTGAGCGTCAGAAAATGAAACAGGAAAAAGATTTATGGAGCAGGTTTGATAAAATGCAGAAAGATCTGCAGGAAAGGATGAGTGCACTTGAGAAGGAGAAAGAGGGAGAAGTTAACAATATCATACACTCCATTGAAGTGGCTGAGAGGGAAATGGAAGAAATAAGGTTAGAAAGGCTGGCACTAGATAGGGAAAAACAAAAAATTGCAATAAACAAGGACAAGCTAAATGATCAGCAGCTTGAAATGAGCAAGGAGGTAGATGAGCTTCATGTCATCATCAGTAGCTTCAAAGGTCATGGACAGTTTATTCAGGAAAGGAATCGCTTGCATTTGTCGAGAAGCTCAAAAATTGCAAGGACTGTGGGGAGGTCAGGAGGGAATTTGTACTCTCCAATCTCCATCTGCCTGATTCAATGGATGGGCTGGTTCCTTCTCTGTTACAGTTAGCTGATAAACTCTTGCGGAAATTTCAAGGTAATGTTGGTGTTTCTGGTATTACTGATGTCAAGGGATCTCCAATTGTTGGTATGGAGCATCCAGAATCTGCAGGGTGCATGTCCTGGCTCCGCATATTCACATCAAGGATTTTTCGCATATCTCCGACTAAGAGAAATGAATGCAAAGACCAAGCACCTGGTCTGCTTACTAGTAAAGAAGCTGGAGAGCATTGTACTTGTGTAGGTGTGCTACAGCCATTTTTAGGGATTCTAGTTGACTCCATCCATAATCACCTACTCTAATCTGACACAGTAAGAAAGGTGGACTATGGGTTTGATCAATCCCTTGATGATCAGAGTTACTTGAACAGCAAGGAGCACAAAGTTCCTGAAGATTCCCAGCAATCAGAGCCTAGGAGTTTTCGACAAAGACCTGGTAGGAAACGTAAATCTGAATTGAATTAGATGCACACCATGAAAGCTGCTGTTGAAGAAGCAAAGATGATTCTTGGTGATAACACAGAAGAACCTGAACCTAGTGAGAGCAAGCAGGTTCATGAGGAAAAAACGCAGGTACTTCAAGTCATACCAGTGAGAAAAGGACTTGTAATTATGCAAGCGTTCTAGAGAGAGCGAGCTGGATGCTGCTGATAGTGAAGAATGTTCTGACACTGTCATAGCTGGTGGACACAAGAAGACGCTGCGGGAAGTTGCTCCGGTTCGCCAAACCCCTTACAATCTCAGATGGCATAAAACATAAGTTTCTATAATTTCCTGAGTTGTTGGCCTGTGGACTGCTAGTTTAGAAATGCCATACTTTGTACATTGTTGCAGTTACAGAGGTGAAGAGGTCTGATGAACGATGCTTGGGTCGAAATGTGAAACCATTTGATTTAGAAGAGTTTAAAGGGAAGAAATGATGCCCTTAATTTTGCTGATTGATCATTTTTAGTTTTGATTTTTCCTCCATCATATTTAATTGTATCCATTTATTAAAATACAAAAATGACAGTTTTGAAAGATAAAGCAAAAAAATAAAAAATAAAAAAATAAAAATGACTAACCTTTTGTTCTAATGCTAATCGCATACAAAGTTGTTCTTTAGCCATTTTCAGGTCAAGTTCCTGAAGTACTATTACCTGTGCTGCTTGGTCCTTGAACTTTACGTCAATATATATGGAAATTCAGCTTGTTATTAAATGCCACTACTTCAAAATGCCGTTAGCTGCTGTTTAGCAAATACGACCACGCCGAACGGCTGCAGCCGTCAAATTGTTCTCCTGTTCATAATCTTTGTCATAAAATTGCTTTAGTTGCTGCAATTTAATTGTTTAAGGTTGGATTCTTTCAAAAACTTAAATAAAGTGTAAATTCACTAATGAGATCAAACCATGTTCCTTCTAAATTAAAAAACTGTTTTTGACGGTAGATTCAGAATCTTGGAGAATTGAAATAGTAAAAAGTTTTATGGTTTTGAAGTTTTCAAAAGGTAGTTTTTAATGGGATTATTAGTGAAGACTCACAGTCAGTTCGACTTAGAGTATGTGTTGGATTAGTGTGCATGGAAAATAGTCATCATTTTATTTGCTATCATCGAGCTGGAGGTTATATTAAAATGAGAAAAGGGGAAATTAGGATGTTTTAATATTTTTAATGTTAAGATGTCTAATTATAATTATTAATATGTGAAAAATAATGTGAATTTTAATTTTATTAAATTTATCATATGATTATTGTTAGATTTCTTAATTTTTTCTTTTGCCTATTAAAATTTGCATTAGGGGAATATTTGGGTATGATTTTTTTATTATTTATTTTAAAGGTTGATATATTTATTTTGAGCTGTCAAATTTGGGGTTTCATTACATGGAAGTTAGTTGCCTAATTCAATTCAATAATACTTCTATAAAACATCCCCCCTTTAGTTTCCTTCTACCGTTGATCGGGTTGTTAATAAATTATTATTAGTAAATGGTGGGAATAGATATACAGTTTAGAAAATGAGTTTGGTGTTTTGTAGTTTAGGACTGCAGAATATTAGTATTGGATGGAGAGCCTTCCTGATATTTAAGAGTTTTTTTTTTTAATAATTAATATTTTATTATCTAATACAATTTAAATTATAAAATATTTTTCTATTTAAACGTAATCCGGACCCAATTTCTATGCAAGTACTGGATTTGATTAATTGGTAAAATCTTTGTTATTCCAAATACAGTTGTTTGATCTGTTTAGAGTTTGCTATTATAAGATCTGTTGTGCAAGGACTCAGCCATGCTAATTCCTTTTGCCAAACTTAACAGTTCAGGAACAGTCACACCAACACAAGCCTCGTCTGACCTGAAGATTGGAGAGGCTGATGCCGGTGTCCCTGGGGAGTAGTAACAGGCGGCATAAAATCTCTTTTAATGCATATCACAGCGTTGAAAAGTACTGAGATTTCACAAGAAATGGTTGTTCCGGTGAAAATCATACCTGTTCCACTGTCTCTTCTAACTTCAAGCTATAATGTTAAGAATCGTGACGATAATAGTCTTTTTTTTTTTTTTTTTTCTTTTGCGGTCTAAACCAACTGCAGATATTGATGATATGGTGATGCGGCAAAGTCAGTTGAGAATGTGGAGTTTGGTGAAGAGTTAAATGATACGCCTGAATATGATAACCGAGATGAGAATGAGGGCACAATCCATGAGGATGAAGATGGCTGTAATGAAGACTTGGAACATCCTGGTGAAGTCTCAATAGGGAAGAAGATCTGGACCTTTTTTTACCACATGAGGGCTAACTACTTCCCCCAGTTTTTTTTTTTTTTTGAACCTGGAGGTCTTCTTCTATTCCTCCCCTCCTAGGTATGACAGGGAAAAAAGTTTTAACTAGAACTAGAAAACTTTAGGTTCAGCTTCTGAAATTTCTCAAACTGTATTTTTCTTTATTTTTTTTCATGAACAGAGTAGGGAGTTGGGAAAGTATTTGCTACCTGTTAGGGAGGCATGGTCTCTGTCCTCATCCTTAAGAAGCTGTCACAAAAATGCAAGGAAACTCACCATAAATGAAAGAGCTAAGCTTTTCTTTTGGCCGTAGAGCTAAGCTGTTTGGTAGGACCAAAAATGCAGAACAGAAAATGACTTCTCAACGTGGATAGGTCTGCCAATCGTAAAAAAATGAGTAGCTGGTGGGCTATGCCTTCCTTCCTAGCCTTCCTATGCCCTCCTTCCTAGCCTTCCTATGCCCACACAGGCCCAGACTGGTGAGATGTGGTCCAGACTCCAGGCTAAGTAGTAAGTCTCTTAATTGCACCTCTTGCTTTTGGCATCTGAGGCTCTGATTCACTTTCCTCCCTGTTATTATGCTGGTTGCCTGGTTGTGGTTTTCTTCATAACACCTCATACAGAGTAAAACAAGAATTGTATGGGTCATGGGTATATTCATACATAATTGGACCCTGTTGTGGACCTGTTTAGCTGGGGGGTTGTGGGCGAGAGAGACCTACTTTGCTAAATGAGTCAAAATTGAAACTAGAATATCTCTCAATTGAAGTCCCATTCGGCACTTGCCCCTCTGGTCGTTCACATCCAAGGAAATCAAAACAGTTCCTTCAAAAGTTTATTGATTTATCACCCTCAAGTTTCAGTAGAATTTATTGCCAACTACTTCCTTTAACTAGTTAGTTGGGTTTCATTAGAGAAGAAAGAACTTACAAGGTAAGATTATTGTACCACAATGTCCATTCTGTTTTCCGAATTGTTTGAATTTTTTGCTCATAAATATAGCTAATACTTATAGAATCTCTTTATTGATTGGAAAAAAATGACCTTTAGATGGAGAAGGCTTCCACATTTGGGAGTCCTATTTCACTTAAATGCTAGTTTTACATAATTTAATTGTAAAAAACATTTATGATATTTTTATATACAATGTGAATGTCAATTTAAATAATTTTTTAATTAAATAAAATTAAATAATTTTCTTGAAACTGACTTCTGCTCGTCTCTACTCTTAATTGATCGACATGTTCAACAAATTCAGTTCAGTGTCATCACAACGTAATAGACTCTGGCATTGCTGTACCAAGAAAACATAATTTCCTACTTTTGCACCATAAATAAAATTAAGATTATGGCATTAGCGTGCTGCCATTACTCTGCAGCTGACTCTAAGGCCATTGGCAATGTAGCAGTACTATGTGGCTAAAACCAATATTTAGCCTCTCATTTTATAAAATTAGTAGGTTTTAGTTCTTAATTTTATAATATGACACTTTTAATCTTTTACCTTACAAAATTGGTAGGTCTTAACTCCTCACCTTACAAAATTTGTAAGTTTTAGCCCATCACTTTATATTATGATATTTTTAACCTCTTATTTGTATGAATTGAAAAAATAACCCTTATTTAACATCAAGTTTTAATGTTTATTAATTTTGTTAATTGACTGTCAGTTTTGTTAGCTGACTATTAGTTTTATTAGTTGACTGTTAGCATCCGTTAGCATTTCGTTAATGAAACTAGCAAATAAAATTGAATTTAAATTTTATATTTTTTATAATGAAATATTAATAGATATTAATAGTCAATTAATAAAACTAACAGAATGATATAACCTGATATTAGGTGAAGGTTATTTTTTTTAATTCGTATTGGTGATGGATTAAAAATATCATAATATAAGGTAAAATGTTAAAACCTACTAGTTTTATAAGGTGTGGGATTAAAACTGTTATATTATAAGATGAAGGTTTAAAACTTATCAATTTTATAAATTGAGAAGCTAAATGTTGATTTTTACCGTACTATGCCTACAATTTACCCCCTAAGTTCTCTTTTGTCCTTTCATCTGTCCATCTGCGCACCGTCGAAAAACCACTACCCCAAAATAAAAAATGGAGAAGGAAAAAACAAAGTAAAGACATAAAAACGCCAACTTTTGTCTTTCGTGCATTTACATGCATCTCTTCTTTGCATGGAGAATGGTCCCCTCCTAAAACCCTAACCCTAAAAGTAATTAATCCCACAATCTTTCTGCATAAACCCCTCAACGACCACTTCCTCTAAAACCTCTGCTACTTCATTTTAATGAAAAGGTAATAATTAGCAGCGGCAATTATTGACATGTATATAAATGCCTAAAAAGTCTATTAAAACGCTAGGGGTAGTAAAATTTTTTTTAATCTTATACTATATAATGAGAAATAATTATTTTTTATTTATTTGATTATTTTACTTATTTATCATGTAATTAAAAGTTAAAATTTTTTATTTTTATTGAAAGAATTTATCATAAAACTATTTAAATTATTGATGTAACTTCTCTCTCTCTCTTTTTCTTTTTACACTTTCATGTCAAGTTATCAATACATTTTGTGTGATAAGTTTATATGACATTGTTTCCTTATCATTAACTCACATAACAGATAATTTTAATTTTAAAATAACTTAATTGTTAGGCGAACTAATAACAAAAAAATATATTTACCATCTGAACTAATCATGGAGGAAGTGTTGAGAAAGGAGTACAAATAGAAGGCTAGAGGGTCATTGCACCGTTTAGGTTATGTTTGGTTGAATAAAGTGATTATTTCCATGGTTGAATTACATAAGAGTTAGGTAAATTTGAAGTAGAGCACGACTA